CTGAAGTTGACTTGTAACCCCACATAGTGGCATGCACATTGCACATGCAAATCTGTAATTAAATACTTCTCTTTTATCTTAAATTGCCATTTATGTTTATTTATTTTTTCTCTTTTACCCCCAACTTGCTGAGTGAATCCTGTATGGTTTTCTACTGTGGCACTGGTTCGGTTTCTACTGAGTCGAGTGTAGGATGGTTTGCACGGTGATGAGATGGATGGATGGAAGTTGCTTCGGAGAGTTTTCCCACAATGCATCTTTGCAACCCCCCCCAGTGTTTTGGATCCTTCAAAGTGACGTTTAACCCTTGGTAGCCAGTTTGATTTTATGTTGAAGATGTTGGGGGCCATTTTACTTCTTTAGTTCCTTTGACCTAGTTTGACAATTCAAGTTTTTTGTCAGAGCCTCAAACAGCTTTGACAGTCGGGTGATTAAATCATTAGACTTTCACACATTATCAGGATCAGCGTTTATGCCTGATATATTTGGTTGTTTTTGAGTTTCCTTTTTATTTTTACAGTTATTTCTAACAAAGTTAATGGTTAAACTGTAAAATATTAAACCTCAAATACATTTCTTAGTCACAATAACATCTTCAGGAATCGTCGCCAAATTTATTTTAAATATATAAAATCTGTTTCTTTTTTTCCTCCTTACCATCGAAAATCCATATTGGTCGGGCTCTTGTATGAATTCCAGAGAGGAAGAGAAACTGATGTTTGCAATCTTTGGCTACAGTTTCCAGAATTCAAACTTTACGTATGTTTTCTGGTTTTTTTATGCCAATTTGAAGCAACTGAGTACAAAAGCTAAATAATGAAATAAAAAATCTCTCCCATAGAACCCCAAATATTCCCGAACTAATCACGAGACACACATTATGTTTGAAAGGTCCGCGAACAATCAAATCTAAGCTACAAAGGGTTGTGGCACCTCGAGACGTTTTCACAGAGATCTGATGTTGAGAGGCGAGAGCCGAGGAGAAATCTTCTGGAAGCAACGTGTCTCCACCGGGTCGATCGTGATGGAAAACGAATGGAGAGAGAAATGGGAAGGGAGAGATGGACGGAGACTGGAGAGAGGGGCCTTGAGGGTTGCTATAGCAACAGCTGGAGACAATTCACCTACGTCTCTTGAGAAATCAGGTTTTATTGTACATCACACACACACACACACACACACACACACACACACACACACACACACACACACACACACACAAGGAGCTCGGCAAGATTCAGGAGTTTTCAGAAGTTGTGCACATAAATGAATAATTGACTCTGTTTTGAATGTTAACATCAAGGTGGCGCTGTGTTGAGAGTTTGCAGAAAATGATCAGATCGACTTTACCGCTGCTCTGTGTCTGGTGGACGTGTCAATAGCTAATTTTAGGCGACAAATTTAGCCATAACGACTTTTTAAAGTTATAATAAATCAGTGGCTTTTTGGTTCTTGAGCTTGTTTTGGAGTAATTGTACCCCCCTAGTGGCCAAAATAGATGAATGCAGCTTTAAGATGTCCACATAACAAAAGGACAAGGAACGAGAGATTCAGTCCTGAACCGTGTCATTTCCACAGACGCTGCAGAGAGACGTTCACAGACAACACTCCCACACACTCAAGAACATGAACTCGTTCAACCTGTGTACACACACACACACACGCACACTTTTCATAAGGAGTGATGAAGCTCAATCCCGCCACCCTGTGTTTATGAGTGGAATTACATACAATGCAGTGGAGGAACCAGAATGAGGAGAGAACTCTTGTGTTTGAAGATGCTGAGGAGAGAGAAGAATGAGAAACAGTGAGATGAGACACTTTTTCAGAAACTTTATGGATTATATACACGGGAATTACAGAACCGAAACATAAAACACATGGCATGGGAGAGAGGGAGAGAATGGGTGAGTCGAATGCCCCCCCCCCCCCCCACGCAACACCCTCCTCCTCACTCATCCACTTCCAGGCTGGAAATGAGCAAAGGTGAGGAGTGGGTGAAAGAGTGGGGGGGTGGATGGCGACGAGGACGTTAAAGTTTTGCTGTGACACTGCTCAGATGGAGAAATCACTGTGTCCTGTACAGTGTAAGGCACTGAGGGTAACCTACTGTAGCTGATGGTGGCAGGACACACACACACACACGCGCACGCACGCAAACACGCAAACACACACACACACACACACAATGTGTCAGTTAAATGATGGAGAAAAAATACAGTTAAATTAATTATTAAAAGTAAAAAATCGAAAAATAAAATTCTCTGGTTGTTGATTCTCAATTTCAAATTCATATTTAAATCAAATCTTTCAGATGAAACTGACACAACATTTGTGTTGATTTCTCAGGAACCAAATAAAAAACAATCCGACATGTTTGAGGGACTGATATTTATGAATGTGCACAATTTATTGCAGCTTGATTTAAGGGGACTATTAGAAGAGGATGAAAAATCTCTACTGAGATTCTAGTTTCACAATTTAATCCAATGGACAAGATGTTCTAGCTCTAATCCAAGTTCTTCCTTCTATTGATATTATGAAAGAATCTATTTATTGTACAGGGCTCAGCTCAACATTCAATATTCTATAGGCTGTATGACTATAAAAAAAAATTACTAGATCAAATCATAATGAAAATTATAGATTTTGGCTCAAAACAAATTTTAAAATACCTGCACACACACTCTTACACACTTTCACCGACAGACACACACACAGCAAATGTCTCCCTGTCGCAGTAGCCCCGCCCCCCGTGGTGACGGTGATAAAATGGCTTCAGAGCGTGACGATGAGCCCGGAAATGTGTTCCAGTGCCATTGTGAAATTGTGTGTTAACATCACTACGACCTCTGCCCCCCCACCTTCCCCCCCACAGCTTCACATCATTAAAATCTCTCTCATTACCTTTTGACCCCCCCCGCCCCGCCCCCTCCCTCCCCACCTCACTCTTGACCCCCCCTACACGCACACGCATGCACACATCTAGTGCTGTACAAAGGGGAGACCACGGCGTGGCTTCAGCTACATAAGCACAACTTTTGGCAGCACTACTTTACACTAAACCCACTGGTAAGTTGTTTTTTTTAAAGAGAGCCCTTATTCGTGTTTCTGTTGACACGGCGCCTCACGACTGACCCACTGACACAATTTCACATCCGACTGAGTGGATGGGTTGGTGTAGGTCTTCCTTCGTGCCGGGACGAAGAATCAATGGGAAACAAATAATGAATCAAGGGGCCGATGGGTGACGGAAGCTGGAGGTGACGACACAGAAAGCGGATGTGGAAGAGAAGCGGTGACTGAGCAAAAAAATAAACTTGCAACCCCCCACGATCCCGTTCACAAAAAGAAAATAGAAGCAAAACAACAACAAAAAAAAAGATCAAATGTTCATTTTGTTTTCCAAAGAATACGATTTCTTCTCGGAAAGTACGCACACAACATGCTTTCACACAAGGGCAGTGTTGTGTGTCGGCCATTTTGGATCCGCTGTTACAATTCTGGACAAGCGAGTGGTGTCGTGGAGCCAAAAATGGAGGTGGGTTTTTCCGGCCTGTCCGTCAACACACTTGGTGTGGAGTGTTGCTGCAGGCTACTGATGTGGGTTAGTGAAAGGAGAGAGGGGGTGGGGTCAAAATGTCTGACGCAATGCCAGGTAAAACCATACAATAACTCAATCCGAGGCCTGCTGGTTTTGTAGCCGACTCTTCCCCACATTGTCTAACTATCTAGCTACCTAACTCTAGAGGGACCTGAGAAGTAAGCGAACCGCTTTGCACCTCTGTAAACCTCTCACTACACCGCCTGAAACTGGACCTAGGACATCTCCGGGATGGACACAAAATGGCGCCCGTGTGCCACGCCTGACAGGGAGGTGAAGCCAAGAGGGTAACAATGACCATTTGAGTCTTTAAAGTCAAAAACCGCGCGGCTCTTTTGATTGTTTGACAAACTTTGCAAAAGCCGTAAAATTTTTTTTGTTTTTAATGAATTTTCAGCGACGAAGTCCATAGTCCTGATTTCCCTTTGTCAAGTTTAGACTCTTGGCTTTTTCCTCACCTTGGCCCAGTCTCGTTTTTTTAACATATTTTCTATGTTAGCACGGGAGCCGGTGGGACTCGACTTTTAAGGCGTAGTGTGGTTGATCTCATCTACTACAGAGGGTGAGGAGGTGGCGGACGGGATTGGCTTTGGGTGAGGAGATTGGGGGGTGACGAATGGGACTCTGATACAGAAGGCACTGTGGCTCTGTAGGGGGGTTTTGGGGAAGCTTCCCCGCCTGCTGTAACCTCTCTAGAAGGAAGGTAAAAGCAGAGGGGGTTCAGGTCTGTGCCCCTCGACACCTTGACATATAGACAATCAGCAAAAACAGATCCCCTATCCCCATTATCACTACGCTATGCTCGACGAGGAGGCGTGGAGGCAACACATTTCGGGACAGGAGAGAAAGATGGGGGAGGGAAAAGGAATCAGCCCGGAAGACGAGGGGGAAAAAGACAGCGACAGAGGCCCATGAAAGACAAGGGTGTCATTGTGGGTGTGATGTCGAGTGACGTGTGCAAAAGTGGTGTCGATCTTCACATTTTCTCAGATCCGCGGGCTCCAGTTTCATTAATCCGTTTTACAGTACCACAGCGTCGCAGTTTCTCCTCCAAAATAATACGATGAGGAATATTATGAGGTCTGCATAGAGTCAAAACTTGTGAACTGGGGTTCGTGTACCGGCTTCTCCAACTGCGGAGAAAACAGTGCGAGGTTAAAAGAGTAGCTAAATTCGTATACCGTGCCATGAGCATGAACGGTGTTCAAAATAAATAAATATCTGAAACTCTATTTATTCTCTGTCTGTTATCTATAACTACATCTACGGCATTATATTTAGATTCATCTGTAGGTTATCATCTATATCATCTCTATTTTATCATCTTGTCTTAGAGTTATTGAATAGTCAATAAATAATTGTTGTCCCTCATGAAAATAAGGATGAATTATAAAGTGTTTCTGTCCTGTAATGCCTTTAGTGTCCTCAGTGTCACTCCCTGGCAAGAACGAAGGAACGGAAGTTAAAGTAAATGGACAGAAAAAGGTAAATGAGGAAAGAGAGGTTGGTGGATACCGGAGTGGGTTTTGGCAGAGGAGGTGTCAGCTTTGCTACAACCTCACATGATTGGATCGGTGATTTGGTGACTGTTCTCTGGTTATCCAGACCTGAGAGTAGGGGCTGGAGTGGGGGTCAGCATTGGCACAGTCAGGCAGACAGAGGGACAGACCTACAGACGGACAGATATGGCATTTCCCAGGCTACATCCTACGTGTCCTGACCAGGACCAGACTTCTGTCTGTATATCTTACCTAGATAAGATATAAGAGAAGGTCTAGAAACGAGGATGTGGCCTGGAGGCTGTCCTGTAGAGGGGGAAGGCAGGGTGGAAAATGTGTGCTGTTAACTGCACCCTGGTGGCAAAAATAAAAACACCACCACCTAATACTCACACCAACACTGTTCCACCAATACTGTGCTGTCACTACTGGCAACCGATTTTGTTAGAAACTACAGAACCAAACAAAGATAGAGATTTTGTAGTTTTTTGGCAGCAAGTGGAAGAATTCAACCTTGGTAAAACTCTAACCTCACTAAAACTAGACTCAATCCTCTGCAGTGGAAAGAGGAGAAGTTTCTTCATGCTCGACAAACTGAAATACCCCTGGCACTGAACATGAATTCTTGATCTTTGGGTTGCCTTGACAAGAGTACTGACCCCACCGATCACTGCAAGTCAGGTACAGAGAAACTCCCCTGGTCTCCCCCTCCCTTCTGCAGAGAGAGTTGCATTACAACACGCAACGCTGCAAAGTGAAAAGCTCCCCAAGCCGGCATTGCCCCGAAACGTTCCATGAAGGCATCAGGAACCCGGTAAACGTTATTAAACAGGGGAATAAAAACATAAAGGATGTAAACAAGATGGACGTAGCATAGCCAACTTGAACTCCAAATAACATGACAACAAATCTACAGCAACAGTTCTATCATTCAGTCAATCATCATTGTCATCGTCATTTTGCATTGACATTGATATCATTATTCATAAGACTATCATCATTAACAATAATAAATCAAGTGTGGTAGAAGTCCGCTACTCTCCACTCTTTCTCCCTCTTGTTTCTCAGGAGCAACAGGAAACTTTAACGTGATCCTGCAGCGTTTCCTGTCGTTTAACAGGTTGCAGAAATGTAGCCGTTAAACTCTATCGGCAGAAATCCGAGACAAAGATATTAGCCGACTGTCAAAGCCTGTTTCGGGCAATACGAAAATTACGTCTAAGATGAGAGAGAGAGAGAGAGAGAGATTGAAAGAAGAGAACTTCTTTTGTAAACCTAAAGAAGCAAAGTTTCCTATAAAGCCCCCAGGTCCCACCCACACCAGTTAGATTTCCTCTCTAGTATGTATTTAATCAATCATGCAGGTTTCCATCAAATTTTTTGGACTCGGAAAAAGACCAAAGGAGGCTGAGCGAATGCAACAGAAGAACCAAGCTCCAATGTCCGAAGAAGAACAAGAAGGAGAAGTAATCGATAGAAGAAATACTGAAGAAATTAGTCTTTTTCCCCATCCCTCCTTGCCTCTCCTCCGCCCCAGTCAACCGTGTGATGTCATTTCCTGTCAGGTCACCCTTTCGCCGTGCACTGAGATGAGTAACCGAGGAGGAGGAGCCTTTAGCGAGTGTCCGACTTCCTTCTCTAGTTAACTGAGTTGGCCCCCCCGTAGCGGACTCAAACAGGAAGTGAGCCCACACCGTGGCCCGCCCCCCCTCCAGTACCACCGCCGCCGGACAGGAAGTGATGCCACACCAGTTCCGTCAGCATTAGGTGAGTCTTTAACAGTAAACAGAGATGATAAAACTCATCAAATATCAGCCAGCGCTGTGATTGGCTGGTTTTTGCAGTATAGGCGGAGCTTCCTGGTTCTGTCCCTTGGAAAGGAAAAAGGTTATAGATAAAGTGGTTGTTCTCCCTTTTTTCTTTTCATTGTTTGTCATGTAAAGATTCATTTTGTTCTTCATTGTTCAAGTTTGATTTTCTGGAGGCATAGCTTGGCATGTAAGGGTTGGGGGGGTCCTGGCTTTTTGAGTATTTTTCTTTAAACATATCAGTGGAGCTGCGTTCCATCTCGTTTTCAGGCTTTAACATCAGCAAACTGGCCGGCGACAGATAGCACACGTCTGATGAAACTAACTAATCACACGTCAGTCTGGGAGAAGTGCTTTTAGGCCTCGTAAACAGCAATGATCAACGGCCGGTTTTACAGCGTCATGCTCCTCCCTTGTTTTCTGTTCCCACGCCTTCTCTTTCTCCTGCAGCCTGGCCTTGCTGGTCAAGCAGAGAATTCTGGGAAGTGTAGTTCTGAGACAGAGAGGCAGAGGTAAACTGTGCCTGGGCCTTGCCCTAGCTATCTTGGCTGTGTCTTTCTGGTTATATTCGTGTGCTGCTCTGTCGCTGATTTGAGTCCTACACAAAATGTGTAAAAGGCTACAGCAGCACCATCACCCCCCTCCCCTCCGCCCCTTTCTCTCATTTCTCATTCAGAGTCCGAGGGGTGAGGGTAGAGGGTTTGGGGGGAGTCCAACCCCCCTCAACTTTCCACCACCACTGCTTTATTAAAAGTCTACATATCCAAGGCCAGAGCACCGGAGGCTGCTGCTACTCTTCTCCTCTCCTGCCCGTATTCCTCGCTCCCTGTCATCGCTAGCACCAGTCATCTTCGTCCGTCTCACTGTAAGGTTCATGCAGGCCCTTGCGGGGCCCTCTGGCATGAGGGGGGCGGTGGTGCGGATGGGGGGGTGCCCCGGGTGGTCCCCGTCGATGCGGGGAAGGTGAGGATGAACGGTAGCCATTGGGGACCCTCCGTGGGTGCGGGTGAGGGGGAGGAGGGGGCCCATGGCGGGCAGTCCTTGGTGAGCGTGGGTGTGGGTGGGGATTTCCCCCATGTGGGTGTGGGTTTCCATGGGAGAGGCTTTGCTCATAGGCAGGGGGCTCATGGTGCCGCTCATACTCATAATCATGCTCATAAAAGGGCCCGTCTCCCTCCAGGCTGTCCCCAGGCGGAGGCCCACTCCAGCGGCCTCGGTGAGGGGACCTAGGTGAGCCGTGGAGGGGTGAGCGTGGGGACTGGTGCCTCGGGGAGCGTGGTGAGCCGTGTCGCGATGACGAACCCCCGTGATGGGGAGAGCCATGGCGTGACGGGGGTCGGTGGTGGTAGCCTCTGTCGTGATCTGGTGGGGAGAAGTGTCGGGGCGAGGGTGAGCGCAGACGGCCTGGCCCTGGGGGCCCGTAGCTGGGCTTGCGAACAGCGGGAGAGTAGGTGACATGTGGACGGGGGACAGCAGGGGTCTGGGGCAGCTGGCGACGACCTCTCCGTGGAGTGCTGGTCCCAGAGGTGGAGGGGACCGGGCTGCCGCTCACCGAACTACTGCCCTACAGCAAAATGTAAACAAGGAAAATCAAAACGCACCACAACAGAGACCAGAATAGAGCAGAGTGGTGGTGAACAGATAGACAGAGAGAGAGAGAGAGAGATAGATAGAGAGATAAAGAGAGATAGAGAGATAGACAGATAGATAGATAGACAGATAGATAGATAGATAGATAGATAGATAGATATAGAAGAGATAAGCACCATTGAAAATCATTTAAAAACAGTGATGAGGCAAAAAATTGACACCAAGAAGCCCACATTGAAGAAAAATGGACAGAGAGAGAAACAGTGACAAAGAAAAAAGCATAACACAAAAAAGAGAGATTGATATCAATAAGTCAGTGATTTATGATCTGTGTGAACCTTTAGTGTGGACTTACTGTTTTATTTAAAAATGATGTGTGTCCATTCAGACCTTACTTCCTGTTTTTGTCTGTTCTCCAGTTTTCTGTTATGTCAACTAGTTCTCAGTGTATTTAAAACCCTTGTGTCTCACTCAGTTTTCAGAATGTTGTGTGCTTCAGTTCTGTCTCTTGCCCTGTTTGTTATCTGGACTCCAAGCCTCTGCCCCCTTCTGGATTTGTCTGCTTGTTCGCCTCGCTCTTGCTGGCTTCGTACTTTAACACGACTCCCTGTAAACCTTCTCTGTGGTTGTTTTATGAAACTACCGAAGCTGATTTCAGACATGAACTCCACAGCAACACCAGAGTCGGTTTGTGTCACCAAAAGCTCACGAATCTTTCCATGTTGACATCTTCTTTGATATCTTCTCAATAAATGGCTTGTCTTGTTCATCCTGAGATATGAAATCGTACTGACTGGCACATTTGTGTTCCCACAAACAGCCCCTCGGGATAATGTGAGTAAAATGTGCATGTCTGAAAGCAGCATCTAGCACTCCTTCTCCTGGGAGTGCTAGAAAAAACATGATCCCCCTCTGTGCTCAACTGATGATGATATAAGCACTAGTATTTTTTAAAAGTATAGTATAACTAGGAATGATGTAAAGTAGCATCGGCAGCACTTAAATATCCATAATGACAGAATGGAACATTTTCAAAGCTACAAGAGGTTTTATCCAACTGTGTTGTGTTAAAAACTTTACACAAAGGTATTTGTAAAGAGAAACAAGAGGAAATATGGGACAGTATGTGGAAACTGTCCCCTCTATTTTACGACCCTTGGCATTAATCTTAGTGTCTTTGGAGCCCACCTGTCTGTGACCTCGCCCGTCAGGCCCCTCGCTGGGCGACCGGGACCAGTGGTGGTCGGGTGGATGCCTGGGAGGGTAGTCGTGACGGTCTTGGCCGTAGCGCTCCTTGTCCATAGAGCTGTGGTGATGGTGGTGGTGATGATGGTGACGGCGGTCCTTGGTCCGGCCGCGGTCCCGCTCACGCTCCTTGGGTGGCAAGTCGCCCGATTGAGTGGTGGTGCTGAGGTCTGTGCCGAGCCCTAGCAAGGAGATGTCTCAGTTTACGTTTGTACATACAATTTGTTATGTTGTCAAGATATAACCTGCACAAGGAAAGGAACACAAAGACAATGTCCTGAAAGTTGCTGTATTAGATGAAAGATTCAAATCGAAATAAATGTGTATCTTAGTACCATGAGGCTATAAATCAAAAATAGTTGCTGGCAAAATCAGAATGAAAAAAGTTTTATTTTTCAGGTCCAAGAGAAGTTTTGTGTAGAGAACCTTGAGCTTGACTCAAATTTCAAGTGAATCAGACTTACGGTGTGACCTAAACAATTACTTAAAACTTGATTTTTAGCTCTAAATTACAGCGCCACCATCTGGCCAATTGGTCTAATATTACTTGGGTAATTAACGCACATTGTTTAACGTTATCTTGCCAAGTTTTGTGTTTCTGCCTCATCCCAGCCTATGGGAATCTATGGGGTCCTGACGTGTAGCAGAATCAACAGGAAGTTATATCAAACTGAAAAGACAAAAAAAAAAAGACTTTATGGTAAAACCAAGCAAAACCTTAAGGTGCAACGAAGAAAAGTAATTTAAAAGGACTGAGGATGGGAAGCAGAGGATCCATCAGATTAGAGAGCTCTCCAATTATAAAGGGGATTTAGAATTTAACTGTGGCAGCCTTGTTGGATTAGTTTTACAGCTGAAGCATCCAATTTGTTCTCCAAATGAGCAATGAAGTGAACTATGTGCTCGCACAATGTTCTTTTCATAAAGCGTAGTGAATACGACGACGAGCCTGCTGCCTCTCACCTCCACGAACGCAGCGATTGCGCTTAATTGCCTCAACAACTGCGACTGAGTCACCCTTGACCGAGCTCTAAGGCAGCGCTGCATAATGCAGCCGTGTTACACTTGACATGACGACAATGTTTCCTCACCATCGATGGCTGCGGTCCACGTGTTTCCATTATTTCCAGATGGAATACTCTAATTTCTTAAAGGAACATAATTTGTTATCAGTTTACGCTCTGTCACACAACACTTACTGATTTGGGAGAGAATTCAACAGGAACATGTACTGAGATGCAAATTTTTTAGGGAGATGATATATTTGTGCAGCTTGGTGCAGTTTGATTGTTGGGTCTTGGCGGAGGTTGGCACTTTACCGAGAGCCATTGTAGTTATGTTTGTGCTGTGTGCTCACTACAGAGATGGACAAATTTCATTGCATGGCTTTAATTAATCAAGTCTTTTCTATTTAAGGGACCTTGTCTTTAAATGTGAAACCAGTGGAAACCCTCAACTTCCCAACCGACGGACGGACTGACCTACAGCTAAAACCACTTATCTGTGCGAGAGTCTATGCCAGGAGAACGGCCCGTTTTTCAATTGATCCTCAAATCTTTTACATGTGCAGATGAGTGCCTCACCCGTGTCTGCGTCGGTGTATCTGGTCAGCGAGCGCTGTGACGCACGATGACTCCTATCCCGGTGCCTGCGTCCTCCTCCGTGCCTTCCCTCCTCAGATACCACCCTCTCCAGGGAGTAATCGTCCAGCCTCACATTCCGGCCCGTGCGCCCGTGAACCAGGCTGGAAGTGGAGCGCCGCATCGGGCTAGTGTCGGTGATGGTCTGTGAGGACGAACGAGAGAGGGGAGACAAAGACATACAGAAAGGGGGAGGGATTGACAAGATAGGGGAGAACATAAGGGAGGAGAGGAAGTGAGGTGATGAGGAGAAAGGAGATAAAAAGCAGTGGGGGAGAGGGAAAGAAAGAAAGGAGAAAAGAGGTGAGATTTAATGCATCCAAGTCCATTCACTTCACACTTCACTGACTTTTACTGAGCGTATGACACAGCTACAGAGATGCACATGGTTTAAATGCCAGATCCTGTTGCATGTACGTCTATTAAAGAACTTGGGTCAAACTGCAGCGGCAAATAACTTTGTTTAGGCGAGTGGTGGTTAACCACACTCAGACAATTCATATTTAGGTTGCGTGTTGTCCCGTGTGGCTCTGATCTGAAACAAGACACTATAATGGTTTCTGAGTTCCCTGACCGCGAACCCTTCAACAAGCACATGCTTCTCCACCAAAACATGGAGGTAATGAAACAGACGGAGATCAACAGGGAACTGACAGGCAGAGAGAGGGAGAGCAAGCATGAAGGAAGGCTGTAGAAACCATGCCTCACATGCACAACGGCAGAGGAGCCCACTGGACTTTTCCCAAGTGGCAGCCATGTTTCATTCAGGTCACACCCAGGTCGAAAAGGCAGAAGTTGGAAGATTGAAAGTTTATCAACAACTTACAGAAGATATCGATAGAGGATCTTGCAACATCTGAAAGGGAGAGAAATTAAATCTCTATAATCTTGTTTTTATTCAATCAACTTTCTACTTGAATTGATTTAAAGAGTAGATTTTGTCCAAAGATGACTTGCATTGGTGTGTGACATGAATCAAACATGGCAGCCGAGCAGATGAGGTAAACCGACATTACACAACCTCAGATTCTGGTCAAAGAATTCTGCAAGAACCCAACAAGAAAAATCTACAGATTTTATTCTCCTGTTTCAAAAACATAAAGTTGTAGGCGTTTAACAGGAGGATGGTTTGCATCTTAAAATCCTACAGTATCAGCCTGTTTAAATTCTGGATCAAGTCCTGACGTGATGGAGAGAGTGTTCTAGAGATGACAGATATTCACATATGGCCGTCTTGGCTTTTAGAATTGAATAAAAACTTCCTCTCATGTCCATTTTTACCTCCGCCAAGGAGGTTATGTATTTGGATTACACATATACTACTGATTTCCATAACGTGGAGGAGTGGGACACGACCCGAGGAAGAAATCATTCAATTTTGGTGCCGATCCAGGAATATTTTTTTCTCATCCTTTAACATGGTGTTGTCCAACATTTTCCTTTATTTCTAATAGAATAATTGATGAAAGAAATCAGGCATATTAAGAAGACTGATATTTATGAGCGTCTGTAATTTGGTGCAGCTTGTCTGGATTGAAGGGACAGTTCTGAGGAGGTTTGAGCTCTACTGACTGACTGTGCCTATAAATATATTTGAGCTTGTGTGTATATTGATAGAATAATGCATGAAACAAGTGTGCCAGTGTGTGAGGTTTTACTTTTCCATGAAGACTCTGGATACGTCAACATGCCAGGTGAACACTAGAGCATGAAGTAACTGTCTCCAGTTAAAGTCTACATGCTGAGTACTGGAATCAGTCTTTTGTGATTTTCCTTCTGGGTTCAGGTCAGACTCTTCAGAGTCCCCCCTCCCCCCTCACACACAGCTTCATGTCGCCCTGACGACCGAGCACACATTGTCAGTCTGCAGGCAGTGGGCCGAACAAAGACGAACACAAAGAGGAGTCACCATCCTGACGAGGATCAGCACCGCACACACCCAGCTGTCTGCACGCTCTCTGAGCAGCCGCACACAAGCCATGCATGTCCTGTAGGTGGCAGCACAGTATAGTGCAGGTTATCACACGTCCACACACGCACGCAGACACACACACTTGAAAATGATGTCTGATCTCTAGATGTCTGTTTTGGAATGACACAATTACGTTAACAACAAACTCCTGATCATTGGGTTGTGATTACTTCTGCCAAGGAGGTCAAGTTTTCTTACATTTTTTTCAACCATCTGTATTTGCCAGGTTCAGGATATTTTACCAAGATATTTCTTAAATTGTTATGATCCCTGTTCATAGAAAAGGAAAAGTTCAAATCAATGGCGTCAACTAACTAGAGACAGACACCAGAGTTAAATATGACGATGTATGAGAGCTCCACTTTGCCTCTGACCAACTTTCACTCCACTGTTCACTGAATCACAGCGTTTGGCTAAAAGCATAATTTCCCCGAGTAGCCGCACCACCTCCTCTCCATCACATCCATCACGAGACTCCGCTCGGCCACGTCATGCACGACTAATGACATGCCGGCACGCTGCCAGTGCCTCGCACAGGCCAACAGTTGCATATCAGGCCAGTTCATGCTTTTGTCATATACTGTTGACCCAGTCTGCAGCGATGCAGCAGAAAGAAACACACGTGACGCACAGAGAGGAACACACACACA